ATATGATCGGAGGCAGGATATGATCTCAAAGCCAAGGATAGATCTTTAAAAAACTAATTTATTTTTATGAAAAGCAATATATTCTTGTTTTTCCCTTGAACCAGTGTATATTGCATTATGGCAGGGTCCTGGGACTGTGAAAGTGTCAGTGGGAAAAGAAAAGAGGGGTGATGTGAGCATCAGCTGAAGCTGTGGGGAGCAGGCTAGCTCTCCAGGGAAGGTAATTCTCAGCAGCTCCTTGCTGCTGCACTCACAGTTCACCTGCAAACTGTATCATGTACATGCATGTGCATATCTAGAAAGATGTTTCCCAAACTTTCACAGGCCGTGGCACATGCAGAAAATGACAACATTGGAATGGCACACACTGGGGTACCAGATGGGGCTCCTGGCAGCCAAAGCCAAGTGGCCTGGTCCTCCAGGTGCTCCCAGGATGAGGGGGTATCAACCTCAGCACACCTGTGGGATAATGTCCTCTCAGAGAGAGTGTGGGAAGCCATGGGCCTCCATTATCCATTTCACGTTCTCTGAACTGGCAAAGGGGAAGAGTCTAGGCTTCCCTTGCCCTTCTGCTCTTTGAGAAACCAACTGTGCACACCCCTTACCCCTGGGTTACAGGTCCCATTTGCAGTAATGAAGATCATGGGGTTCAGGGGAGTTGTGCAGCATTCTGGGTCCCTCGTCTATGCTGTGGCCTTACTTCTATTTCTAGCCTCATTTCCCACCGAACACCCCACTCTTTCTCCCGAGCACATTACACCCTGCACACACTGCACTTGTCTGTCATCTATGAACATCTCCCAAGCCCTTCTCTCTCTCCATCACGCCATTCCCTCTGCCAGAGCACTCAGCCTGCCATCCCTGTGCTAAGCCCTCCACTTCTCTGTGAAGCCTCTTTCTATACACTGAGGCCACTACCACACTGTGATTTGTGTTACAAGCATGTGTGTGTGTGTGTGTGTGTGTGTGTATGTGAACATCCTAATGGTCCCTGATTTCCTATCTTGCCCACAGTAGGTGCTCAACAGTTATTTCTCAAATGACTTCCATGCTGCAGAGGGACCCTGGCACTAACTCCACCCCTGTTCTTGGTGGTCACTCATTGTCCCCTTGGGTCCGGATCCCCAGCCTCTCAGGGACCTTTCAGCCATTTCCAACTCTGCCACTCCACTGCCAGGGGCCTGGAGCCATGCCGCCTGGCTGAGACACATCCTCATTGCCCAGACCCCCTCACCTCCCCTAGCTCACACCTTTGGGGTTGGCATTAGACTAATTGTGGTGTGACGAAGGGAAAGGGTCACGGTGACTCAGCCTCAGTGCTGACTCCCCTCATTCAAGCGCCAACCTGCAGTACCAGCATGTGGCCACAAGGGGCTCTCTGGGGCGACCCTTTGCCCAGGGGAGGAGGGCTCTGTGGGAAGTACTGCCTGGATAAACAAGGAACTGCTCAGGGGCTCTGCCCCTCTCCAAGTGCTGAAGCCCCACTGCCCGTATCCTGCTGTTTTACCCTTAGCTGTCTAGCAGATGTTGTTTTCTATCTTAACACATTACTCCTTGCTTTCCCGTGAGCGTCTCTTCTGGCCACCCACTCTACTGACCAATAGCCGCCACAGGAGCAAGTCACCTCCATTTTTGTTAGTTCCGCTTCCTTTAGATGAGGGCCAGACCTACACCATGAGCTCCCCGTCTTTCAGGATGTGGGCTGGAAAATTGTCCTATTCCATCTCTTCAACACCTCCCGACTCTGCCCCCTTCTGTCTCCCCAGTGCCACCCAGGTTCGGGGCTCCCCGACTCTGCCAGGATTAATGCAGTGGCTTCCTGGAGGACCCCGTGTCTCCAGTCAGCCCCCTGCCCATCAACTCTCCACCCTGGGGCCAGAGAGATCTTACTCCCATCAGACGCTGGCCTTCAGTGGTTCCCCAAGTCCCAGACACTCAAATAGTACCCCAGGCTCCCCAAGACCCAGCTGCCTGATCCTCCAGCCTCACGTCCCTCCTCTCTTGCCCTCCAACCAATAGTACTGAAATACTTGTAGTTGCTCAACACACCGTGGTGTTTCAAGCCTTTGTACTTTGCACACGCTCTTTCCTGTGGCCTGATCATCTCCCACCCCTCCCCCACCTGTACCCTTGCTCCTCATACTTCCTTCACCTGGCTGAGCCCTGTTCATCCTTAAAAGTGCCAACTCCCCTGTGAAGCCTTCCATAACCCACAACTCCTTCCCATGCCCCAGAACCCCTCCTTTGAATAGATCCAGTCCCCAAACACACGCCTCTCATTGTATTTGTCATTCAGAGTTGTGATAATTACTCGTGCTGTCCTGTCTCCTCCACCATCTGTGTACCTCTGTGTGGGACGGGGTTGGCACACTGTCTGAATGTTGTTGCACTGAGGTAGCTCCCTCTCTGCACCATCACCTCCCACCTTGAGCAAGTCCTTTAAATGCTCTGAACTTCCGTTTGCTTATCTGCAAAATGGAAAGATGTGAGAATCAGAAGGGGGCACACACATTCAAGAACTTTATAAACAGCTAAGGGCTATGTATGTGTTTTTGTTTTTTTTAAAAATAAATTTATTTACTTTTGGCTTCATTGGGTCTTCGTTGCTGCACGTGGCTTTCTCTAGTTGCGGCAAGCGGGGGCTACTCTTCGTTGTGGTGCGCGGGCTTCTCGTTGCGGTGGCTTTTCTTGCTGTGGAGCACGGGCTCTAGGCGTGCGGGCTTCAGTAGTTGTGGCGTGCGGGCTTCAGTATTTGTGGCTCGCGGGCTCTAGAGCACAGGCTCAGTAGTTGTGGCACACGGGCTTAGTTGCTCCGTGGCATGTGGGATCTTCCTGGACCAGGGCTCGAACCCGGGTCCCCTGCATTGGCAGGCGGATTCTTCACCACTGCGCCACCTGGGAAGTCCCTATGCACGTGTTTTTAATGCATTTTCTTCCTTCAGACTAGTATTTACCTGCACTTGCCTGTGTGGAAATCATAAGATCAAAGGAATGTGATGTGATCTTTTTGTAATTTCTCCACCTTGGGTCCAAGGAAAAGCTGGTGGAGAGTAAACCATTAATTGTGTCTCCCTGCAGCTCCTAGTCTTCTCGGAAGCTCTGGGTTAATCCTGGGGTCAGGAACCTTGTTTGGCCAGAGGAAACAGTGCATATGTGTAGGTCTTGGGCTGTCTCCCTTTCTCGTCAGTGCTCCCCACCAAGTGCCCACCGTTCCCTCCACCAACAGAAGAGACCTCTCCCCACCCTCCCGTGATGAAGTCTGTGGAAGTCACAAACTGAAGGTCCAATCTACAAGGATGCTCTGACCTAACAAATAACCTCCCTAATGTGAGGTTTAAGGATTTGGTTTTGGAGCCCCAAGAAGAAAAAAGTTCCTGAAGATTTGGTATGGAGAAACCCTTCTGAGCAGGGCATTCAAAAGTTAAATTAGTGGCTGGAGGAGGACTGGACGCTGGATGTTCCAGGAGTGAAAGCTGGAATTCCAGGTGGGACCCTGTTTATGGCTGCAGCCCGGGTCATGCCAGAGGCTAGAGGTAGAAGCCTGGGAGCCAGACACAGCTCAAGGGTGGTCTGGATGCTCTCGAGATAAGGCCAGCTAAGAGCTGTGAGCTCACTGAAGTTCGAAAACCGGCTCCCATCCCCCACCCCTCCCTCCCCTGAATCTAGTAAAATTGATGCTCATCTCTGTAGTCTTGGGACATGATGGTAAGAATGCTGGTGCCTCGGGTTCTTGTGCTGGTCCTATCTCAGGCTTGTTTGCTTGCTTCCTTCGCATACTACAGACAGGGCTTTGCATAAAGAAGTGGGCTGGTGGATCACTGTTCTGCAAAGATCCCATTGTGCGACTGGAGCAGGTTACCTTCTCTGAGCCTTAGTGTTCTCATCTGTAAAATAGGCATATCGTTCCTTCTGTTCCTAATAACCAAACAAGTGTTCTTGTACTTTACCTTAAATAAATGTAATTTAAAGATGCCAAGCCTTTCTGACATCACTTTTGTGCATAAATAAAAGTGAAAAAAAGAGAAAGGCATTGGCAATAGCTTCATCACAAACTGCCACGGTGATTGTAGGACCATTCTGATTTCAGAGTTAGTAAAACGTGAAAAATACAACACCTGTGTACCTACCATCTTGCTTAAGAGACAGAACAATTCCCAGCAGCACTAACAGCCTTGTGTCAACCTCCTTGACCTAGCCTTTCCACCCTAGAGAAAACTGTCCTCAATTTTGTGTTTACTCTTCCCTCATTTTTAGCTACCAGTTTTTAAAAACACGTACCCTATGCAATACATCGTTTGAGCTTGTTTCAGAATGGTTCCGTGAGTGGAATTGTATCCCATTCTTTTGATGTTTTTAAAAATCATGAGAAGTTGATCTATGCTAATGTGTGTAGCTCATCTATTTTTCACTATTGAATATTCCACTCTCTTTGTATCCTGCTGTATTAATTCTGCTGATGGAAATTTGGGCTGTTTCCCGTGTTTTCCTGTTAAGTTATTTTTGCTATAAACATTCTCATAGTTTTTTCCTAGAACATGTGTGTTTCTCCAGGGTATATACCTGGGCAGGGAACGGCTAAGACTAGGTGAGAGTGCTTGCTGTTCTGATTGCTAGCTAATACTGCTGCCCTTATTTCTGTCCACTGAATAGCCCGAGGGGACATGAGTCCTGTTCTTGCTTTGTTTACAGACCTTCAGGGGGAATAAGCGTTTATAAAAAGAATAGGGGGATAGTGAAGGAGAGCTTCCCAGACCATAGTCTGACTTTGAGCCATGGCCCTGGGGGGCAAAGCCAAAAAGGAGTGGAGGCCAGATGGAGCACTGCCGTTGGCGCTGAGCATGTGTGTGAGGTGGGGCTGCCCCTGACTGGACACTGGGTCTCAGACTGTGGCACAGATGACATCACAGAATCCACTGTGAGGCTATGGCTGGGCTTTGGGACCTAGAAATTCAGACAAAACACTGCATGCATTCTCAGATTTTTTGGTTTTTTATTTAAATTGAAGTAAGGAAGCTGAAATGGGCTCTCCAGGGGTATTTCCCTGAGCCCTGGTCCCCTTTGCAGCTCCCAGCTCTAGGTCCTATTGATGGGCTTCAACGGTCACTGGCTCCATGGTCTCAGATGTCACACCTCCAGTGATTTCCAGCCCCTGGCCACTCTCTGCTGTCTCTACGATGGCCTCCATTCGGGTCCCTTCCACTGGCTTCGCCAGGATGCTCGCATATTTATTGCGTGAGGAGGCCACTGTCTTTGTAGTAAGACTGGCTCTGACGTTCCTGAAGAAAGAGCTGATCCTGCTCAGTCTCTTGGTGGTGGGACCTGAACTCGCTGTAGATAAGCTCCTGCCCGATTTGTGCGAGGTCCTGGACTCGTTGGTGATGGGAGCACAGCTGATGCCTTTGTGAGCAGTGCCCTGCTCGCTGCCCCCTGGGCTGCCGTGGCCTTTGTCCTTTTGGTCATCTCTAGTGGCTCTGCAGCCGCCTGAGCACGGGCCAGCTGCTTTCTGGATGGTCTTGTTCCCCACTGCCTTGTGGTGGCTTTCCACTGAACTGCAGAGCGAGGGGCTCATAAGAGCTCTGTCCTCTCCCCAGTGCTCCCTTCTTCCCTTGCGGACCTGGGACACTCTCTGTGAGTTGCCATCCTGTTCACTCACTTTGCCTTCCTGTGGCAAGGTTGAGATGAGGGTCCCCTCATCCTCCTCGTCGGCTCTCCCTTCAACAGTCTTGCTGGTAGGTTCTGCTCCGACCACAGTCATGCCGGCCTCTGGGGAGAGGCTGGTGGACGTGCTGGAAGCATACCCTGAATAGTTCGCAGCACCTGCCAAGCATACCCTGAATTGTTCGCAGCACCGTTTTCCTGCTCCTCAGGGATGTTCTGGCAGTGCCCCCAGTGGCTATGTTGGTTTTGCTTCCTTCTGGACCGTTGCTGGCTGTGGCTGCTGTGGCCGTGCTCTGCTCTTCAGGGGCAGGAGACTTGATCACTGCCACGCTCAAAGCACCCGCTGCGGTGCCTCCTGCCACCCCTGCTGTCTCCACCTTTGTCGTTGCCCGTGATGCTGACGCTTTGTCAAGCACTGTAGGTTTTGCTTTTGCAGTGGCCACATCGGGCATGGTATCGGGTTTGTGGGAGTCCAGTTGGATCCCCTCCCCCCCAGCAAAAGCTGCAGACGTGGCCCCGGCCAGCTCAGAGCACGTGTGGAGGCTGCAGATGCTCACCTGGTCCTGATCCCACTTTCCTTGGAAATCCTCCACTGCCGGGCTCCTGCCGTCCTCCTCCTCCTCTAACACAGGCATGCAGATCATGTCCCAGGCTGGAACGGCATAGGTGCGGCTGTGACTCTCCACTGGTGGTCGCAGGAGGTAAATCAGCTCTTCCCAAGAGGTGAAGAGGTCTTCCTGCGCGTCCAGAGGGGCACACAGCTGCAGGTACCAGGAGCGGCCAGTGGCAAACTTCACGCGCAGCTGTTGTTTCTCACGATTGTGAGTGGAGATCCTCACGAACGTCAAGGGAAGGAGCCTGGTGAGCTCTAAGGTCTTTGCAGCCTCGTGGCTCTTGCCCTTGGCGGCCTGGCTGTGCTCAGTGTGCTCTTCACAGCCAGTAGCCCATCGGGCCAGCAGCATGGTGTCTGGGAGTGGGAGGACGGGGCTGCTGGATGTGATGCCCACGGTCACCATGCAGACACAGTTGTGCACGTCAATCAGGTCTCCCCTCTTCGTGATCTGGATAAAGTCGCTCTCGAATATCGGTGCGTCCTTGAATATGTCGTATTCGCCCTTGCGCAGTTGTTGCTGCAGCTTCCCCGTGGTGGTGTTGAACAGGCCCACCCCGGTGCTGCTCTGGGCCGTGTGATACAGGAGCAGAGAGTCCCCACTCATGGCTGTCTTTGATCACGACAGGCAGCGCGGTTAAGGCGGGCCCCTGGCTCTTCCCTCCCTCCGCCTCACTGGCAGAAGAGCGAGCTGCGGTGCTCGTACGTCACACACAGGCGGCCCTACGGCAGGTCTTCCAAGCCCGCCCCACGGGCCCCCACCTTTGCCTCAGGGTCTCCCAGAGGCAGGGGTGTGGGTAGGGGCACAGATGATCACAGCGGGGACGCTGTAGGGCGCCTGGACCCCAGGCTGAATCTCTTCAAGTGTGTAGAGAGGTATGGTAGGCTCCCCCTCTGCCTCACCTCACTTCTGCTTCTGGGTTTTTATCTCCCCAAGAGGCTGTGGTGAACTTCAGTCCTAGTGAGAGAAGGAACCACTTTCTCAGCCTAACCCCCTAGCACAGCCTATTTATCCTCTGATGCCCTTTGTGACCTATCACTGTCGCATAGCCCTTTGCCTCATTGTGACCTATCACTGTCACATAGCCCTTTGCCTCATCCCCCAGCTGCGCCCTCAGGGCAGGGTCCCCATCCTCTCCCAAAGGAGGGGGAGGACATGTCCTCCCGCGGAGGACAGGCCCATCCTGCCAGGGACTCAGGTGCATACCGAAATAAAAATGTCTTCAACTGGGAAAGTTTTGTGTGGGTCCTTTTTCTTTTCCTCCCCCAAATTCAGCTACTGGATGAAATCTATAGGAATGTAAGATGATGGGATAAATTTGAACCGTTTAAGCTCATGGTTTAATTGTATCGAATAACGTAGAGTTGGCAGTTGCGATCCTTAGTCTGTCCTTTCATAAAATCTCAGTAACCGTTGACGACGGTGATTTTTAATAATAACATTAAAAATTGCTTCTCCTAGGCACCATGCTGCATTCTTCACATATGGTGGTAAGAATGCACTGAGTTTGGTACTGTTAACTACTGTTCCCAGTTTATAGGTGAAGAAATTGAGGTTGTATCTCCTGTTTAAATTCCCAGAGCTAATGGTAGCAGAGGCACTATTTGAATGTAGGTCTACCTGATTCTAAAGCCTTTGTTCTGAACCACTACAGTACTTAGCCTCACAAAGAAAGCTTGGCCCAGCCAAATGTTTTCAAACTGGACTGATTTAACTACCTTTAAGAAGACCTATTTGGTGCATTACTAGAAGTTGCGTAATTAATTTTATGTGTGTATATATGTTATGGAGAGAACCCAAGACAGCAGTTGGGCTGACGTGGGGATTAAATTATCCAGGGGATCACTCAGATCCTCCCTTCCTTTATGCTTGTGCAAACAGCCTGTGTGTGGAAACCTAGTTATTCTTATGACATGTCCTCCCCCAGTGAAATGGGGGGTGAGTAGCCTGAGATGTAAGCTTTGATTCCAAGAGCCTGCCAGATGCTGTCCTGTAGTAACCTCCCTACCAGGCAGAAGTGGTTTGGAAGCCTTGACACCTGTGGGGAGCATGTACCATTAGACATCCTGCCTCATTGCCACTCCCACAGAGCTAGTCACAGAACAAGTGATTTCTAAATTGTGACTTGAAAGTTCTGAGAAAGGCCCTTGCTGCCAACTCTCTTATCTCCAGTTTGATGTTATTCTTGAAATCCCACCATATTCATTCCTTGAGGATAAAGGCTATCTTTCTGTTAAAATACACACACCTGTCCCTCAACAGATGACTGGATAAGCAAAATGTGGTCTCTCCATACAGTGGAATATTGTTCGGCCAGAAAAAGGAATGAAGTACTGATATATGTCACAACATGGGTGAACTTTGAAAACATTATACTCAGTGAAAGAAGCCGCATATTGTATGATTCTATTTATAGGAAATAGCCAGAAGAGGCAAGTCCATAGAGACAGATATTAGATTAGTGGTTGCCTAGGGCTGGAGGGAGCAGAGAATGAGAATGGGGAGTACAGGGTTTCCTTTTGTGATGATGAAAAATTCTGGAACTACATAGTGGTGATGGTTACACAGTATGGTGAATGCACTGAATGCCACTGAATTGTACACTCTAAAATTACAGTGGTGAATTTTATCACAATCACACACACACACACATACACACACACACTCCTGCTCATTTAATAGATGGGTTAAGAGCAGTTATCTTTTCATTGTTCCCTGTCTCAGGGGAAATCATTCAATCTTTCACCATAAAGTATGTTGTTAGCTGTAGTTTTATTTCAGAATTGCCCTTTGTCACGTTTAAGAAGTTCACTTCTATTCTTAGTTTTCTGGTCATTTTTATCGTGAAGGATTATTGATTTTTTTTCAAATGCATTTTCTGCATCTATTGAGCTGATTACTTGATTTTTTTTTTTTTTTTTTTTTTTTTTGCAGTACGCGGGCTTCTCACTGTTGTGGCCTCTCCGGTTGCGGAGCACAGGCTCCGGACGCGCAGGCTCAGCGGCCATGGCTCACGTGCCGCGCCGCTCCTAGGCATGTGAGATCTTCCCGGACCGGGCCACGAACCCGCGTCCCCTGCATCGGCCGGCGGACTCCCAACCACTGCGCCACCAGGGAAGCCCCTCATTACTCGATTTTTAATCCTTTATTCTGTTAATGTGGTCAAGTACACTGATTGTTTTTTGAATGCTGATTTGACCGTTCATTGCTGTGAAACCGCATTTGGTCATGGTGCATTATTTTTACATATTGCTAGATTGAATTGGCCAAAATTTTGTCAAGAATTTTTGTATTTATGTTTATGAGCGATATCGGTCTGTGATGTGCTTCTTGAACTCTTTTTGCCAGATTTTGGTTTAAGAGCTTATTTTTTAATTAAAATTTATTTTTTAATCAAACATATACAAAATTTAAAAATATCAGATAGTGCTAGAAGGCTTATGGAGTAAGTAGCATTAGTTTCAACTACAAATAATTGAAAAACCCCAAATATTTGCACTTAAACAAGATATATATGTTTTCTCATTTAAAAGCAGTCTGAAAGGAAGGAAGTCAAACTGGTACGGCAGCTCCACTGTGTCATCAGAGACCTAGGCTCATTTTCTTTTCCTGGTTATCCTTAGGGTCACTTCATATTCCAAGATGGCTGCTGGAGCCCCATTCATCAAGTCCATATTCCAGGCCATCAGCAAGGGAAAGGGGAAGAAAAGAAAAAGGTTGTCTGCCTCTCACTTTTACAGAGCCTTCCAGAAGTCCCACATGACCCTTCTAGTTATGTTTCTTTGGTCATCATTTTATCATATGACCACATCTAGTTGCAAGGAACGCTGGGAGGTGTAATCGTTTAGCTAGGTACATTGCCCAGGATTTACTGAGGAAGAAGAGAAGGATGGGTACAAACATTATGCTGAGCCAAAAAGGCCCAGACACAAAAAGGGCATACACTGTATGATTCCATTTATACGAAACTCTGGAAAAGCCAAATCTAATTTCTAGAGACATTACTGATTGCAGGTCAAGATTGAATGGGATGGGGCAAAGAAACTTTGGGGAATGATGGAATGTCCTGTAACTTTATATGCGTGTATAAATTTGTCAAAATTCATCCAAATGTATACTTAAAATGGGTGCGTTTTTGTGTATATACTTCAATAAAGTTAATTTTTATAAGTATAGAAAATCTCAGCAACTATAACAAACCTACTCTTAAATTTTGTTCATGTCTGTCATGTCCTCATACATTTGCTTACCTTTGCATGACTGAAATCAGAACGCACATAATGACTTTTAATCTTGCTTTATTCATTTAACATTACATCATAAAATTTTCCATATTGCTTCATTAATTTTCATAACTACCATTTTAAATGACTCTATAATCATTTGGGAATTGAAAATGTAATATACACTTACAGTAAAAAAAAAAACAATTCAGAGACACCCTACACAGTAAGAGCTAACTCTTCCCCTGAACTCTGACCTTTAAGGCCCCTTATTTAGAAGTAGTGGACAGTCCAGTTTCTAGTATGTACATCCAGAAATATTCTATGCACATAAAGACAAGATGTGAACATCTTTCCCTCTCCTTTTAGACATAACTAAGACAATACAAGATGCTTGCTTTTCCCCATAATACAGCTTGGATACCATCTCATGTTCACACATCAAAACAGGCCTTGTTCTTTTTAACCACTGCATGTATTCTATAGTGCACTGAACCAATATTGATAAACACTTAGGGTTTTCCCAGTTTTTTTTTTGTTTCACATACCACAAGATATAATGTTAAAGTTTTGACTCAGCTATCAACTTACAGTAGATGCTACATTCCAAAGGAAGTGCTAGCCTGTATGCAAAATTTACCACAAAAGTAGCTGAGAGCTTGTCACATGATCATTGAAACCTCTCAGCTACACTGAGGATATAAAAGGGTGGAGAGGGAAGAGATTGTGAAGGGATTTGGGAGGGCTTCCTCCATCCCTTAAGGTCAAGAAAGACTTTATTTAACAGGTAACTCAAAGGGCTCAGTATATGTCCCTGCAGTCTGGGTTCTGACTTCTATCTAGGAAACACTGAGGAGGAAAGAAATACTAGAACGATCTCTTAAGGGTATAAAGTGGTGTGGCTCTTGCCTGTGCTCATCCTGTGGGCTCAGGATTTTTCCAGAGAAAATTACACAAGTTTTCCCATGCAGCACTTGGCGTTAAGTCAGTGCCATCTACACCCCCTACCCCCTCCCACTGGCTTCCTCTGGTCTGTCAGCTGGCGGCAAGGCCAGCTTTTACCTCTTTGCCCATGAATCACAACCTGTTTCTCTCATATTCTCAGCACAAGTCAGGGGCGGACAGACCAGGACATCTGGATTAGGTCTGGGTCCAGTTCTCAGCCTGGCTCCTTGCCTTTGACCATTCTTCGGCCCCTAGCCCACCTACCCTGTGGGCTGGGCTGAAATAGAGACCCCGTGGGTCACTGTGCTGAGCCTGAAGGGCTTCTCTCTTCCTTCCTACCACCTGCATCAAGACAGGTGCTTCCTCTCACCCCACTGCTGCCCTCCCGGGAGAGCCTGTTTTCTGGGCTTCTTCCCCCTCATTGCCCCTCTTGATCTAGAGGCCAGTTGCCAAGGTCATGACATGCA